CAGCCCCCGCGGTTCCCGTGTCCCCACAGCCCCGGGACAGCCGTGTCCCCACAGCCCCGGCACAGCCGTGTCCCCACAGCCCCGGCACAGCCGTGTCCCCACAGCCCCGGCACAGCCGTGTCCCCACAGCCCCCGGGCCACCCGTGTCCCCACAGCCCCGGGACAGCCGTGTCCCCACAGCCCCCGCGGTTCCCGTGTCCCCACAGCCCCGGGCCACCCGCATCCCGCAGCCCCCGGCGGCTCGGGTCCCTTCATGGTGCTGCTGTCCCCGCAGCCCCCGTGTCCCCGTGCCCGTCCGGACAGTGCCACTGTCCCCTCCGCGGTGTCACCATGGCCGTGTCCCGCTCCATCCCGCGGTACCGCATCCCAGCCTGCAGCCGGAGGTGTCTGGGAGGGAGAATCCATCCCCTGCGGCCGGGGCTGTCCCTCTCGGGGAGGGTTTGGCTCTGAGGGCACAGGCCGGCTTTGGAGCCGCGGTTTCACCTGCAGAACCAGGCCGGGCTGTGTGGAGCAGGTCCCGGGAGAGCCATGGCATCCTGGCCAGGGGCTGGGTTCTCTCAGAGCAGCCAGAGCACGATTCCTCCTGCTGCCGGCAGCTGCAGTTTTAGTCTGGCTTCCGTGGGCAGAGCTGGGGAAAGCGCTGCTCTCCTGCGCCGTGGGCTGTGTCCCCTCGCTTGCTGTGGCAGGTGAGGCAAGAGAAGAATTTTGGGAGTTTTGGAAGATTGTAGGAAAGGTTCTGGCTGGTGGGACAGGGACCCCCAGACTCACAGGAGTACGTGGTCAGCCAAGGAGGGTTTGCTGACCCCTAAGACATAAACAAAAAAAAGTATTTTTTTTTTCTTGACCATAATTTTTTTTGTCCCCCTTGAGTTCTGTGCTTTAAAAAAACACGGAATAGATGGTGGCAACAGGTTGGAGCATCTTCAGCAGCTTTAAAGAGGTTGATTTCTGTAAAGCCATAAAAAAGACAAGTCTAGACGATTATATTTTCTACTTTTACAGCTTTTTCTGGCATGAAGCAACCATAATTTTATGACCCAGAGGGATCTTCGAGCACTCGAGGTAGGGCAGTGCTGCTCCAGCTCCAAGTGAACAAACAAACTCTCTGTATTTCAGTCTCGTGCCCTCTGTTTCTTGCTGTCCCCACAAGGAAAGCTCCCATGGCAGCCACGGGAATCCTGTGGGAGGATGGAGAAGGTTGGCAGAGTTTGACTTCCAGACTTCAGGAGCAGCTGTGAGAGCCAGGGATCTGGGATTGTAGGGAAGTTTTTTGTCCCAGTTTAGCCCTGGGAAAAGCTGGCTGATGGAGCAAAGGGGAGTTGGTGTGTGTCTGTACCCCAGTGTCCTTGGAATGTCTCCAGGGCTGGGGAGAGGGAAAGCTTCTTCACGATTTTTTAAAGAAACTTTCCTGCAGAACAAGCAAGATTTGCTTTCCTGATGGTGGAGGTACCATAAATTCATCATTAGGAAATTAAACCAATTGCTGTGTTTGAAGGAGAATGGAGGACTACAGGCTTTAAAGCACCAAAATCCTCCTTCCATCCTCAGGGCTGGGCTTGCATGGAAATCTGCTGGGATATTTGATATTTGACATCTGATATTAAGGGGCAGGGAGGCACCAGGCTGGTTTCTCTCCAGATGTGAATCTCTATTTCTCCCTGCCACAGATTCTTCTCCTGCACCAAGAAAAGGATGATCCTGAGTGCCCTGCAGATTAGCCTTGGTTATTTGTAACAACCTGTCTCAGAGCTGGGATTTCCCAATGGAGTTTGGGGATCAAACTGGAATTTTCCAGTCCAATCCTGCCCACAGGGGATTTTAGAAAGTTGATTTGCTGCTCACCATATCTGCAGCCTCAGAAGGTTTCTTGTTGTGTAGCCTCCCCTTTCAGAAAGTTTCATCAGCACAGTCTGATTCTTTCTTTAACTGGTGCATATTTAAGGTGGGTTTCTTTATTTCTTTCTCCTTCAGCTGCTGCCATCCGGAGGCCAAGTGTTTTTTTTAAATGAGATATTGTTTAAACTAGATATTCCTTAAATTGGATATTGTTACCAACCCTCTTCAGACTTGTTTTGTGTTTGTCCTCTGCTAGAAAATCAAAACCTCTCGGTTTGTGCCTCAGAACCGACTCTGCAGATGGTACATATGGCCCTTACAGCACTTTTCTCTGTCACGAATTTATGTTTTAAACAGAAGAAGATCAGATTTCAGTGTTTTATGTGGTGGGAAAGCACAGCTTTACAATGCTGTGTGCATTAAGAAATGATGGGCCACTGTTTTGCCCTCACTGCCTGGAAGTGGCAGCGAGTTTCAGGCAAAACACGTCCCTTCCCTGCCCCACAACACACAGCTGCACAGCCCCTGGTGCCTTGAGAGCATCTCCAGGCATCCCCCGGGGTAAATCAGGAACAATTCCTGAATTAATATTGTGCCACTGTGATGAGACAAGTGGGGCAAGGTGGGTTTGTGCCTGCAGCAGCTCCCACCTTGCCGGGGGTTTGTCCCCACGGCTCTGTGGGATGTCCCCAGCTGGGCAGGGACACCTCATGGAATCACAGAACTGTTGGAAAAGACCTTTGGGATCATCTTTGACCTCACACCTCCTCATCAACTGCACCATGGCACCGAGTGCCACATCCAGTCTATTTTCAACAAATCCAGGGATGGTGGCTCCACCATCCTTGATGATTCCGGTGCCCAGTCGCTCTTTCAGTGAAGAACTTTTTGCTGATGTTTCCTCACGTTCACAGCTCTGCTCTCCTGCTTGCAGGGATCCCCAAGGAAGGCCGAGCCATGCAGTAGGAGCCAGCACATCCCATGGGAAAGCTGGACCCGGTGGTGCCACGGGAGGGACGGGACATGCGGAGCCTCGGCTGCCTCCTCCTCCTCTGGGGACTCCTCCTCATCCTCAGCACCACCAGCACGGAGGGCTTTGCCCAGGCAGGGTAAGGCCCTGTTTTGTCTGCACCTCTCAGGTGTGATCTCCCCCCATCAGGGTGAGGTGTGTCCTCTCTGCGAGGGAACAGCCCTGTGTGGCTCTCTGGGCTGGTGAGGAGGTGGAAAAAGTTCTCCCAGGGCTCAGCTGCCTGTTGTTGGTTGTTTGCTTCCTCACTGAAGCTAAAACCTCTTTCAGAGGAAATGTCCCAGTTCTGTTTAACTCCCTGCAGGGATACAAAGATGCTCTGGGCTTTTTGTCCGGGAGAGTCTAAAGCTCATCAGGCCCTGAGCTGTTCAGGAATTATTACTGTCTCTTTCAAGAACATCTTTCATGAAAATAAGTGTGAAATCCTGCTAGCACACAAATCAAGCCTTGTGAAGAAGCTGTGGTTGGAGGATGCAGCTCCCATCAGAGGAGGATGCAGCTCCCAGCTCTGATGGACATCCAGGGACACGGGTGTGGAAAGCACAGGATGCTGCTGGGGCCCACAGTCCTGCAAGCCCAGCAGTGGCAGCTCCAGCAATTCCCCTCCCCTTGCTGGGGATGGGTCTGGGAGAGCTCCCTGGATCCCAGCACAGCCTGGGCAGGCACAGCTCAGCTCCTGCCGGGTCTGAGGAAGCCCAGAGCTCAGTGCCCCCGTTTCTTCCCTGAGCTGAGAGGAGCTGGAGCTCAAAACCTGCCCCCAGACACAGCTCACATTTTCTACAAAGTTCGTTTTTACACTGAAATGCTCCTCCAGCATCAAACCTTTCACATTCTGTCCAGGACTGAAACCACAGCTGAATTCCTCGCTCACATGCACAGGCTGCAGCTAAAACTTTGTTCTGAATTTTACAAAGCAAACAACTGCCATTTAAAAATTGCATCTTCTATAACATTAATCATGAGGCTGAGAGGAGTTTTCTGGAGTTAATGGAAGCCATCTGATGTCCATGCTAATTCCCAGGCTTTTTATTTTAGTTTCTAATTGAGCTGGGAGGCAGAGACAAGTAGATGGTTCCTCAGTGGGACTGACCTGCTTGGGCTGGAAATTGTTGAAAAAAAAAAAGGATGTTTAACCAAGACCACTTTGGCTGTTAACCTTGGGAAAGTTTTTGACTGGATAACACTTATCTTAGGAAGGCTGGGGAGTGCCTTTTATCCAACCTCTATTTTCTTTGCGGTGAGCCTGACCCTTCCTGTGAAATCATTAATTTCTTGGTGACCACAGGGGCATTCGTTTCAGGAATGCAAAAGTCTCAGAAAGGAAAAATCCGCCTAGAAAGTGATTTTAGGGGAAGGGAGACAATGAATGTAATGAGTAAATCATCCCTAAATCTGGGTCCCCTGGGACGGGGGGAGGAAGCGCCTGCGACGCTTGTGGCTCTCCGGAGTTGTGTCACTGACCCGAAACAGCTTGAGGAGGGTTCCCAGGTCCCTGGGGCACCAGCAGTGTGCAGAGAGGGAGCTCAGCCCCGTCCTGGCTGTGGGGCTGACCCCTCTGTGCTCAGCCGCAGGGTGTGCGCCGCGGGGCCCAGCGGCCGGAGCGCCCCGGCAGAGTCCCACGTCCAGCCCGAGTACCAGCCCTACCTCACCACCTGCCAGGGCCACCGCCTCTGCAGCACCTACAGGTGAGCCCAGCCGCCTGCACACATCCTGCTCCATCCCCAGGGACGGGGATGGCAGCCCCTGGAGCTGCTCTGGGGGCTGGAGGCGGGTTTGGGGTGCCCAGCTCAGCCCGTCCTTGCCTTGCAGGACCATCTACAGGGTTGTCTACAGGCAGAGGCACCGGCAGCTGCCCGAGCCCACGGCCTCGTGCTGTCCTGGCTGGAGCAGAGCAAGCGGCCACACGCTGGGCTGTAACAGAGGTGAGGACACCCCAGTGCCACTGCCCATCCCCAGACCCCTCGTGTCCCTGCAGGGGACCACATCTCTCATTTACCAACTCTCTGCCTGTCAGATGGATTCTCCCTGAATTAAATTTGCAGCATCACAGCCAAATGTGGTTTTATATCTGATTAATTCCCAGCTTTTCTCTGCTGCCTCTTGGGCCTTTTACCTCTGGGATCACTTATTATCTTTATAGTTACCAGAGGATAAATAAAACAAGTCCTTCCCATCTAAATCAGCAGGAATGGATGAGAAATGCTTTCAGGAGGCAACAAATGCAAGCCACAGCAGCAGCCAGTCTGTCCCCAGATGAGCTCAGAGCATGACACCAGGGGCTGCTGCTGCCTGTCGCCCTCCTCCTTCCCGTCTTTGCTGCTTCTCCTCTTTCTCCCACCCATCCTGAGCCCTGTTTCCCCTGCAACTCAACCCTGTTGTGTGGTGCTGGTGTGTTTTGGGGGGTGCACACATCCAGGGTGGAGGGAGGGAGCTGGGGAGCTGCTGGGTGATGCTGTGCTGCTGTTCCCTCTCGCAGCTCTCTGCTGGGAGCCGTGCCAGAACGGTGGGAGCTGCGCCTTCCCCGGGAGATGCTCCTGCCCCTCTGGCTGGACGGGGCGAGCCTGCCAGACAGGTACTGACCATGTCCCCCTGTCCCTGCTCCCTGTGTCATTCCTGCCCTGCTGCTGCTGGGAGAGCTTCTCCTGGGAGCATCCCAGCTGCCATGGGGCTCTGGGTGTCCTTTGGCCCTGCACAACCCCTCAGGGGGGACAGGGACCAGCGCCGTGGCTCCTGTCACACCTTTGGGCCACGTCTGATTCTGTCCCTCTGCACGTACATGCACACCTACTCCAGGAAAGGATGGGAAGTGTGGCTCCCAGGAGAGTCTGACCTCCCTGTGGCTGCCTCGGTGCTCCCAGCTCTCCAGTGCAGTTCTGGCATCCCCATTTTCTCTGCCTGCTGCTCTGTGCTGGGTCAGTGTGAGCAGAGTTGTGAGCAAGCCAGCAAAAATCTCCCTGCAGCACGGAGCCCTTGTGGGGTTGGCCTGGGACTGCGTGTTCCTGATCATCCCTCCCAGGCTTTGTAAACTCTTGCTGTAAACTAAAACCCCTTTACTGCAGAGACTAAAAATCCATAAACCAAAAATATCCGGGGTTGGAGGGGAAGCCTGGTGATGTCCAGGCTCCTCTCCAGCACAGGAACAGCCCAGTGCTCCTCACAGCACGGGGAAATCAGGCAGCGTGGTGCACACCAGTGCTGCAAACCTCTGCCACGGCATTTCCCAGCTTTTCCCAGCTTTCCATCCTCCTGTAAGGCAGAGGAGGAGCGTGTGGCATTGACCCGTGCTGGGCCAGGCAGGGCTGAGCCCATCACTGACAGCTCCAGCTCCAGAGGAAAGGATTTTCCCACTGCCTAAAACAGATTTGCCCGGGCGTGGGAAGCGCTTCAGCTCTTTCTGCTTTGTGGGAACAGCTTTAATAACTCCCCCGTGTGAGGAGAGGTTACTGGGTTTTGTACACACTTGAAAGGCTGATAGCTCCTCACCACAGCTGGCTGGAACCAAAACCCCGGCCGTAAATCCAGGATGAGAGCTGAGTGCTGCCTGCGCCCGCCTGGCCAGAGCTGGGACATTTCTGACCACAGCTTTTACTTCTGGCTATGTTGTGGGGGAAGCAGGAGGAGGGGAGGAGATCAGACCCTCTCCAGCCTACCCAGATTTATCCAGGCCTGTGCCAGGCACTGGTGGTGCTGAGACATCCAGAGCTGTGCCTGGCACAAACAGCAGTTCACCTGGGGGTACTCACTGGGCTTCCATTGCAGCCCCCCTCTGCCTAAGCCTGTGCCCCTCACCCTGTCCCCCTCCTCACTGGGCTGTTCCTGTGTTCCAGACGTGGATGAATGTGCCAGCCAGAGCCACGGGTGCAGCCAGCTCTGCATCAACACAGCCGGGAGCTTCCACTGCGCCTGCCGGGATGGCTTTAGCCTTGCTGCCGATGGCAAGGGCTGCCAGCCCCTGCTGCCAGCACCCGGGACTGACACCTCCAGCCAAGCAGGTAAGCTGTCCCCACACTGAGCCCCAGCTGCTGGGGGCCTGCAGTGAGAGCTGAGGTAACACTCAGCATCACAGGAGTGGCAGGAGATGGGAGAGGGGACAACAGCCAGAGCCCCTCAGCTTTATTCTCGCTGACCCAGGAGCGCTTCTCCCACCCAAGCAACTTCCCCTGAGCACAAATCCATCTGTGAGGGTGACAGGGCCTGGCTGTGGCTGGAGCTGTCTGGGATGTGTCTGTTCTCTCCGTCATCGTCCTCGTTCCCGCAGGGCAGGTCCGGAGCCACGAGGAGCGGCGCTGGTGACGGCCCATTATTACTTTTGGTACGCGCTGTGACACTTCAAACTCGTACCGTGAGTAATAATGCGCTGTGGCCAGCACGGGCATCACGCAGCAAACATCTGGGACAGCAGGGCACCGCCTGCACGTGCCCCACCTGCCTCTACCCCTGGGCAGGGCCCTCAGCAGGGACAATCCCTTGTGCCCACCACAGCACAGGGCAGAGCTGGGTGGTTTTTGGCAACACAGGGCAGAGCTGGGTGGTTTTTGGCAACACAGGCACCAAAGGCCGGGATCCACCAGATCTCTTGTCCTTTAAGCATCGCCCCACTGCCCAAAACCCTCCCCGCTTTGTTGCAGGTACTGCAGCAGCAGGAGCAGCCAGTGCCTTTAGCAGCTGGACTAGATGCCAGCAGGTCCAGCTGATGTTCTGGGGGATGACCCTGGGGGTGGAAAGCAGCAGAGCTTGGCCAGAGCCCTGCAGCCATGTCTGTCTCCCCAGCAGCTTCCACCTCACCACAGCAAAGGGCTTTTACTCACTGACATTCCCTCGGTCTTTTTTTCAGGTCCCTCCAGTGAAATGAAGGAAGAAATGAAGGACCTGAGGAGCAGAGTGGAAGCGCTGGAGCAGGTGAGTTACAGCACATCCCCCTGCCCTGTTCCTGCTCAGCCAGCTCCCGCCCAGGGCTGTTTGCAGCCAGGGTTTCCCTCTTCCCCAGCTCTATTTTTAACATCCCAGCAGCCATCCCAGCTGTGCTCCCAGCCCACGCCGCAGCTTTTCCAGCCCTTTGAACACAACCACAGCCCCACAACCCTCCCTGGTGGGTGCTGCACCCCCCTGGGTGGTCCTCCTGGCCAAGGGGGGATGCACTCACAGCTCCCCTTCTCCCTGCAGAAGCTCCAGCTGGTGCTGGCCCCCTTCCACAACCTGATGCCGCCAGAGGATGTTGGTGCAGACCCCATCAGCCGCCTGTCCCACTCCCTCCAGCAGCTGGACAGGATTGACTCCCTGAGTGAGCAGATCTCCTTCCTGGAGGAGAGGCTGGAGACCTGTAAGTGTCTGGAAAAAGCAGTGGGAAGGATCTCCCTCCAGCCACGGTGGCCACACGGAGCAGATGTGGGCCAGCAAGATCAGTAACACATATGCCACTGTTAATCTGGGTCTGCCTCAAGCTCAGCAGCCTGTAATTAATAAAGGATGAACACCAACAGCCCATTAGCTTTATTTCAAAGCTGTTTCTATGGCTGCACTGTCTGCCCTTGTAGCAGCCAAAAATTGTAGGATTGGCACATGGAAATGTGGCTGTGGGGCAGAGCTGAGGGAGGCACCTCACAGCTGCTGTCCCTTCCTGATAATCCAGTCCTTAGGAAAGAACCCCCAGCTCTTTGGAAATTAACAGTCCAAAAAGTTAGTCAGGGAAGTTTAGGGAGCATGAAGAAGTTGGCAGATTTATGAGCCTGGGAAGTTTTAGGTGTGTCTTTTGGGAGTTTACAGACCAGGAGGGGCACCAGAGAGGGTGTCCAAAGCAGCAAACTGAAGAAGGGACCCCTGTGAGGGCTGTCATGTGTGGAGGTGGGGGGTCCTGCCTGGTATCCCCACCACACAGAGGGACAGCATCCCCTCGGGTCCCTGTGGTGCTCACCTTGACTCCGAGCAGAACACAACTCTCTGCACTCTTTTATTTTGATAGGCAGCTCTTTGCAGCTCATTTTCCCATTAAATAATTCCAAAAACTAGGCATGGCTGGGGTGTGCAACAGAAATTTGCTGAGTCTTTGAAAGACTCAGGAGAAACTGGTTCAGGGCATATCCAGTCCCAGTTCAGTGCTTGCAGTAATGGCCAAGAGAGAAAAATAATTCCAAGAACTTGTTTGAAGACAAAGCAGCTGCAAATAGACACTTAAAAACCATCTGAGAAAGAGGTAATTACTGGAACCACTGAGTGTTCCAGCAGGCTGAGTTTTCTAGTAGTGCCCTACACATATTATTAGTGGCAGCACAGAGGAATGTGAGCAGTATCACAAGGTAACATGGATTCATTCCAAGGGATGACTCCAAAGTCCTGAAATTAATTTCTGTCAGGTCTGTCTCAGCAAGCAAAACCTGTTTTTGTCTCTTTTCGTGGTCTTGCAAGTCCCTGTAGGACACAAAGCTGTCCTGTCATACTCCAGCAAGCTCTGGGGCTTGCAGGGCATCCCATGGAGTTACTCAGCCATTCTGTGCCTGGTGGAGCATTTCCCACCTGATTTCTACCCTACAACTGCACTCCCCAATTAACTGCTCAGTGGGGATGTTTGCAATGACCAAAAAAACCCATTTTCTCTTCTTTAAAGCAAGAGCTCTTTAAGCCATAATGATTTTGGCCCCTCTAGGTCTGAACTACCCCTGATCCAGCACAGACTGTCACTGGATTTTGGGGACATTGTGCACAGGGCCCAGGCAAGGACTGGGACATGCCAGGGAGGTGAGAGTGACACTTCTGAGTGTGAGGGGGATGAAGCCAGCCTGGGGTTGTTTGGCAAAAGGAAAGCAGCAAGTGTGGGTGATATTCCCAGAAGTTCAGGTCAGTCTCATTCTGCCTGGGAAAGACACAAACCAAAGCCAGGCTAATGACTGAATTTATCCTGCTGAACTTATTTTTCTTTCCAATCTTCCCAGGTTCCTGCAAGAATGAACTCTAGCAGAAGGCCTGGGGACCTGGAGCAAGCTGAGTGCATCCCAGCTCTCATCTCCCTCTCCAGCCCCAGGCTGGGAATGAAGGCACACCACCTACAGGGAGGCACAGGGTAGCAGGAGAAGGCTGGGCTCCCATCAGCATCTCCATCGTTCTCTCTTCCAGCTCACCTCACCAAAGGTCACGCAGTTCCTTGCAAACTGGACTCTGAGCCCTCTCCCTGCTGGAGAGGCAGCAAATAAATGCCTTACCTCGTGCCACGAGTGCCTGGCTGTGCCAGACTGGCTGAGTGTGAACTCGGGGGTGTTTCGCTTTTCCTTGGCATTACCCTGGGACATCATCTCCCAGGGAGCAGTGAGCATAGGGCTGGCTGTGCTTTCTGCCCTGCCAGAGCACAGGTCTGGCCCAGGCAGGGCAGCTGCCTCCCCACACTCCCTGTGCTTGCTGTCACATGGAGAAGGTGGGGACAAGTCCCTGCAGCCCCAAGCCAGGTGGCACAGCAGGGGACAGGTGCACCTGGTCCTGGCAAAGGTACTGCAGAGCTGGGTGCCCATCCCTGCAGCTCCTGTTCTGCTCTCCAGGAGCCCTGGAGTGTGGCTGGGTGAAGCACAGCCCTCCTGCCTGGGGAGCACAGGGTAGGGACAAGGACCCACCCTGCCCCTCCATCACCAAACCCACCCCCTGCAACAGCTGAGCACCCCACATCCTCCTCCCTCAGCCCCCACATAAGACCAGGAGGCTCCTTTATTTAAATAACCAAAGGTGTAATTTTTTTGTTGTTGTTGTTGATTTTTTGTAAAGCACACAACATTCTCAGCCCAATTAAAAGTGAACAGCAGACAACTGCACACAGAGGCACCGCTCCCTCCTCCCACGAGGAGTCAGACATGGTTCCCTTCCCCAGGAGCCCACCCAGGGCCCTCCTGGGTTGACCCTCCATGACAACCCTTTATCTGCCACTCTCACAAAGTGCTGGTTTGGTTCCCATCCTCCCACCCCGACCCTTCCCATCCCCTGAGTCTGTACTGTAAGGCCCCTCCAAATGAAGCCCCTTGGCAGCAGCGGCTCGGCCCAAGGGCTCCTTCCATGGAGCTCCCTGCCGTTCCCAGCTGAGGCTTTAGCCCCAAAATACCAGATAAACACAACTCCAAGGCTGCAGGGTGTGCTGGTTACCTGAGTAGCCCCAGGTGGCTTATTCCAGGGTCCCCTGTGCCATGAACAGGGGAGCTAAAGCTACAGGAACCGTGGCCCTGACCCAGCCTCCAAGGGCATCAACATTCCCAGCTCCTCGTGAGGGATCCAGGAACTCTGTTGGTCCATCACCCCAAAGCACAGGGGAACCCCTTTTATTTGACTGGGAAAGGGGTTTATGTCCCCCCAAGAGGCAGCTGAAACCTTCCAGGCCCTCCCAGCCCCGTTCGAGCTGCAGCTCACCCACCCTGTGGCTCTGCAGGGGTTTCACAGGCCTTGGAGAGCGGCAGCTCCGCCTCGCAGCTCCGCCGAGACGCGGGACAGGCACCATCTTTCGGCCAGTGCTGACCATGACAAGTGACAAAACGAGCACCAGAGCCCTTTGCCTCCATAAGGGCATTTCAGGCACCGGGATGTGACCAGGCTGAGCCACCACCACGGCAGGGAGCTGGCAGCAGTTTCCCAACTTGATGCTGTTGTGACACAAGGGCATCTCAAGGGGACAGGCCCGTGAGTCCCACTGGTGGGTGGCAGGACTCTGGGCTGTCCAGGGAGGACACCACACTCCTAGTGCTGCTGAAAAGCCAAAATCTGGATTTTCACCCACTTCTCAGCCCTGCTTGAGCATCAAGGTTGTGCTGATACAAACTGCTGCCTGGTGGTTTCCACCTGGGACATCACAGGGCCAGGCCAGCACAAGCTGAGCCTGCAGGAACACAGGTGCAGGGACAGTCACACGAGGCAGAGCGCAGGCTCCAGGCAGGTTATTGCCATCATCCTGTGCCAGCTGCAAGAGCTGGGGGAACTCACCTCTCTGGTCATTGAGCCCTTTGGTAGCACAAGTTTGATGCCTGAGAAATTCAGAGAAAGGAGATATTTCAGAGTGAGAAAATGAAGCCGTAAGAGAAATCCACTCAAAGGGGAACCTTAGTGCTGGCTTGACACTCTGTGTGTGCCAGTCTGTGGTGCTCCCAAGAGTTAGAAATCACTGCAGAGGAGAAGTTCCTTCAGTATTTGGCAAGAACAGAGAGGTCCCTTCAGCCACCACCACACGGTGACACCACTGGAGAAGCCTCTAGGATGAGTCCTTTGCTACGCTTGGACGGCCTGACAACCTGAAGAGGGTCTCCCTCATGGTGCTGAAGCATCTGTCAGTGAGGTCGGTGACATCGTCTGACGTCAGCCCTTTGGTCTCTATTGGAGGCAGAACCTCAACCTTGACTTTGCCTGGGGACAAGAGAGGAGCCTGTGAGAAACCCACACGTCACAGGAGCTCTGTTCTCTGCCCTGTTCCCCACCCTGGACATCCCCAGCCGAGCCCTCAACCTCCCCCAGGGCTTCAGGCATCCACCCCTGGAGCACAGGCAGAGTCAGATCCCAGCTCCAACAGCTGTGTCACTCAGAATAATTCTCCTGTGCCCCAAACTGCCATCCCAGCTAGAGCCTGCCCAGAGCAGGAGGTGGAAACCAATTTTTAATGAAAACATCCCTCAATGTATTTAATTACAGCCCTTCCTGAGTCAACCCAGCCCAGGCTCTGGTGCCAAGTGCTTTGAACTGCCTCCAAACATCTCCCAGCAGGGCTCCTCCTGTTCACCTCAGCTCTGCTTCCCTCCACACCCCTGTTGAGCCAGATCTCCACACAGGACAACAGCAAGCCTGTCTCCAAGTGACTCCTTGTTACCTGATGTAAATAGCTTCGTCTTTGGGTTATAGAAAGCGGTGAAGGAGGAATACACCACAGGGATCACTGGCACCTTGGGGTAGGGAAAAAAAAGAGGAGTTACTGGCACTTCAGCAGCTCAGGCAGAGACAGGCAGCAAATCCCACACAGCAGAGCTGACCTGGCCTGACTCTCAGACATACAGGGCATACACAGCCTCACAAACAACACCCACTTCCAAAGGCTGGAACAATCAGCAGTCAAATGGAATCAAAACCACTCCCCAAAATCTCAAAGCACAGGGATAAGGCTCAAGAATCCACCGCAGCCTCAGCTCAGACCTGGCTTTTAGGGTTACTCAACCCAAGTGAGGCTTCAAACCCCAAGTATTTTCTGTCATGCAATCAAGCACTGCAGGCTGCCTGTTCTGACAGGCCTTGCCTGCTGTACCGGCACGTGTCTGGGGCACGGTGGCTGCTCTGCTTTCAGTTTCTAAGAAGAGGAGTCACCAGTTGTTATCAATTGCTCCCGGGGAAGCTTCAGACAGACACAGGGCCAGAAGGGCAGGCAGAGCTGTTGTTCCAGTGCTGCTAACACAGCCAGGATCTACAGTTGGTGACTCAGGGGGTGTAGCAGAGGCGGGGGCCAGTTCCATGTCATCCTTTCCTCCCAGCAGCTGCCAGGCTCTGCCTTGGCTGCAGCACCCAGACAGGAATGGGGATGGTACAACACAGGCTACACCCTGGGCTTGGCCAAGCTAACCCAGCGAGAGAGCTGGCACCTCTTCCCTTTCCCAAAATCCCTGCTGTAACACCTCTCCCAGGAAAACCAGTTTCCCCTGAGGCCTTGAGTCATCCCAGTCTCTGGCACACTGCCCCAGTGCTGTGCCCAGGCAAGTACCCTGCTCCTGAGACAGCTCTGGCTAGATGAAGCTGTTTGCTTGCTCCCCCACTAAATGCTCATGGATGCTGTCATTCTGGAGAGAAAACACATACCAGGAACTGCCATATGGCTGCCAGGGAGGCAGCAGCTATTTTCACACAGAGCAAGCCCAGATGTTGCTCTAAAGCACAAGAATTAACAATCCTGAATCACCACTACACTGTTGCAACCTGGGGGATTGAGAAATGGATCCACAGCTTTGGGTTTCCCAGGAAAGGACCCATTGGGCTCCCTGCCAGGAGCTCTGGGCTGCAGCCATGCCCCCAGGAATCCCTAGGCACAGGCACTGCCCTGCCATGCTGCCGGGAAAGCCTGTAGATAGGGATCAAGCCTGCCTGTCCCTCACACTCCTCCCTCCAGAGGGGACACGAGGACTGAGGCAGGCAGAGGAGAGGACCGGGAAATTCTCCATTGTCTGCAGCCACTCACGCCCAGGCTCAGCTCATTCCCAGAGGGGATGGAAAAGGCTCTTGGCTGCTGCTGGACAGCACTTCTGACACTCATGGTTTACCTGAGTAGGTGTTACGTGGGAACACAGCTCATCTGAGATCAAACAAACCACACGCTGCACGACCAGTGTGCAGTGCCACTGCAAAAGCATTCCCCATGCAGGGGCAAATCACTGTTACCTGTGCCTGGACAGCGAGGTGAAATGCTCCTTTCTTGAATGGCAGCAAATCCCCAGTGCAGTTCCTTGTGCCCTCTGGGTATACCCACACCTTCACCTGCACATGGAGAGAAAAGGCTCTGCTCCAGAAACCCACTTGCAGTGATGGGAGACACCAGCCAGCTCTGCCAAGCTGAGCCAGCACCAGGAGTGCCACAATCCCTCCACACCACCCCACCTGGCTCCACAGTGACACTCACATTCTCAGCCACCATAGTCTTGGCGACATCTGACATCACCATCTTGGCACTGCTGGTGCTCTTCCTGTTGATGAAGATGACTCCACCGAGGTACATGATGAGCCCCACGCTGCCCATGTACATCAGCTCTTTCTTGCCCACCTGGACACAGTTGTCGGGCAGGACCTCCATCAGCCCTAATGGGATGGCAGAGGGCAAGACCCAGCAGTCACCCCCCCTGCCTGCACTCAGGAAGGACAAGGACAGGGGCACCAGGGACAGGCTGCTGCCTTGCTTCTCCCCTGGCTTCTGAGAGCAGGAGGCTTGGCACACAGCAGAGTTAGTAGGGCAGGGTGACTGCAGGACCCCCCCAGAAGCAGCTCATTCCCCAGCCCCAGGGAGTCCAGCAGGGCCACTGGCACATGTGCTGGGCCAGCAGCTCAAGGACAGCAGCATCTGGGGTGCTGCACAGGTGTGGGATTGCTCAGAGTGACAGGAGACCCTTCCCACAACCAGCACTGAGGGGGAAGCTGCACCAAAGGCTGCTTGTCCAGGAGGTACAAGCAGGACTTCTCCCAGTGGAGAGCAGGAGAAATGTTCTCTTCCCTCCCACCAGCTCCTCACCCATCATGTCGAGGACACTCTGATGGTTGGATACAATGATAGCAGGGCCCTCCACCTTGAAGTTCTCCAGTCCCTTCACCTCAAACCTCACGCCAAAGAAATACTTGAAGGTCCTGACAATAGCTCTGATGATTCTGTGGAAGAAAAAAGCAGTCAGCAGCAGGGCAGGGAGGGCAGGGGCTGCTATACCCAGTAGGGGTGGAAGGAGACAAAAAAAGCTCTAGGACAGAAAACCTCCTGTCTTATTTGTGCTGTGGTCCACCCAGGTGTCTGCCCTGCATGGTCCCACGTGCTCCAGGAGTGCTGATCATTTGCCCTGTTCACTGCCATGGTTCTGGGCTGCCCCGGTGCTACCACACTCTTCCTCCTGCAAGCAGCAGGGTCCCACAAGTCCTTCAAACAATTCTCCCAGGAGCTGCCACTCCCCAGCACACCCAACACCCAAGGAAGGCTCTGCCAGGTCTGCTCCTTGCAGTGCTGGAAGATGCTGCTCAATGATATAAACAAACCCGGGGTGCCCAAGGAAGGAGGGGAATGAAGGTGAGAAACACTTCCCTGCACAAGGCAAGGATGGCAGGCAGCAACCAGAATGCTCCCCACATGGCTTGGCAGAGGCTGGGTGCCCCCAAGCAAACACATGCTCAAGCTTTTGCCCTTCCCCAGTGGATCTACAGGTCTGACAGAGCTCCCAGCTTTTCCCAGCTGGGAGACTCCAGTAGCTCAGCCATGCCAACACTGGAGTACATTTCCATGCCCTTGTCAGCACATGGGAGCAGGGCCCATCTATGCCACCCCCTGACCTGGGGACTTGGGGACTCTCCAGCTAGGCCAAAGGACACAGGCAGGAGCTGGCAGAACACAGGGACTATTTTAGGCAAGGGAACAGCCATTTACCAGGACAGGTGGCAAAGGAGCCTGCACGTGAACAACGCTCCCAGGAACAGCCACCAGCCTGGCTCTGCTCTCTCCTAGAGCTGATTCCAGAGCTGACCTGCCCTCCAGCAAGCACCTGGATGTCCTGCTTCAGGGCCACCTTCTCTCTGGCAGGCAGGGGATGGAGCTTTCCTTCGTGCAGCAGCAGATTGAGGAACAGTGTCAGCTTTGTCCCCACCACTTGGGAACTGTGCAGCACCATCCCCCTGAGAAACATCCTGGTCACTCAGGTGGGAGATGAGAGCCCGGACAGCATCTCATCCTGGCTTGGCAGCAGCTGCCAGCATCTGCTCTCCAAAAGTCTCCATAAACTCTTGAGCCACAGGACTTCCCCCAGCTTGCTCCTACCCACAGCAGGGTTCACATCTCCTTGGGATGTCCCCCCATGCAGGCCACCCGAGCTGGCTGTGACACTGGAGTTCAGGCCAGGCCAATGCCCCAAGGTGACACTGCTATCAGTCCTCATTTCAACTTGCGGCAAAGAGCCACACCCAGGGAAAGGACACGGGGAGGTGTGTGGAATGCAGAGCTCCACAGCCCGCTCCAAGGTTACAGGGGTGCAGTCCAGGTGAAGAGACAGGGTTACAGGTGAGAAGGGGCAGGGTGACACAAACCAGTGAGGTCATGGGGGATGCCAGGCCACCAGGATGACCTAAATCACACTTCTCCTCCCTTCTGACTGCCAACCAAAAAAGAGGTCACCGCTCTGGAAGTCACAGTGCTCAGTGGCTGCTAGGAGAGGCTGGTTACACATTACTCAAGAGCAACCATCCAGCTTCCTCCTGCCAGCCAGGGGATAGACTTTCCTTGCACAAGATGTGGTGTGAGCCACTGAAAGAGGCAAAGGGGCAGAGCTCAGAGCAGACAAAGAATGGGGTGACCAGCAGCCCTGCTGGGCTGGCCATGTCACCCACAGGGTTAAAGGATGGATCTGAGTCTCCTCCAACCCTGTAAGTGGCTTCTCTGCTGGAATCAATGACCCAGACGTGGTGCAGCCACAGCTTCAGAGAGCTGTAAAACCAGTACACTTATTTCCAGACACAAGGAGCACAAAAATGACAGAGAATAGGACTTTGCTGTGCATCCCTAACAGTCTGACTATGAAAGCCAGCAGCCCCCAGATTCACGTGCTCTGCTCCACAGCCAGTCACAGAGGTTTGTTTAGGATACTCTGATTTTCAAGGACTACTGAAGTCTGCTTACCAGATTGGAAGCTCTTGCAAGATGTTTTACCACAGATAAACAGTTCTATCTCTATCAGACACCCTGGGTAATCTCTTCCAAGTCACACCAGCTTGACACTGGAGCCAGCGGCACAGCAAGAACGGGGTGTTCTGCACCAGGCAACAACTCCATTATTACTGTCTGTCCACCAGCACATGCTCTGCTCCAGCCCCCTTTCCCAAGCTGGAATAAGCAGTCTGGGATGTTGGAGAAATAAGGAACTCACTGGATCACCCCAGCCACAGACCTCCCCGGGGCTGGGATACATCACCAGGATCTTCAGCTAGTGCCACTACACAGAAACAACAGGCTTAAGTTACAGGAAAAGGGCGGTTCTGGCCAAAATTCAGCCCTGGGTTTCAACATGAGCAGTTATCCAATGCAAGTACTTGTTCCTAAATAATTCCTTGAAATTTACAGAAAATGTAGAGGGTTTATTTTTGGGGGCAAATAAAAAGATAGTGTCTCCATCACTGACATCATAAATTCTCCCAGCTGCAGAGCTGGCTAAGAATTGGAAAGCTGCTCCTGAGTGAGCCAAGGCAACCAAAGCTGGAGAGAGAGCCAGGCTGGAGATCGCAGAGCAGACTGCCTGGGGCCATGGCACCAGCTGGGACGGGCAGGGCACAGCTCTCAAGGCAGCACATCAGTGCCCTGTGCCCGCTCCCTCTGCCCCGAGTCCTACGTGTGAAAGCCACACTGCGAAGCAAAGTCCAACTCCACCCGCTGAGGTGCTGCCAACCTTTGATCCTAAAGGATGTTAAGGCTCTCCTTTCCCCTGCATCCATATAACACGGTCAACACAGGTAAAAAGCTGCGTAGGGGAGAGCAAAAGCAGGAAATGTGCTACCAGCAGAGGTGCCAGCTCTGCCCTTAGAATGTACCTTGACATGGAGAGGAGGTGCTGGATGACAGCAGCCCCTTGGCCCTTGCCACAGGTGTCCTGTCAGGGGACACAGGGCCGGACGGCAGCTGCAGGAGAGCTGTGTCCTGGCAGCACATGGCACACAGCCTGCCCGCCCGCTCCTGGGGCAGGAAACACCCCAAACACAAGCACCCCAGTTGTTAGGATCAAAAGGGACCTTCTAGAGATCGGCTACATCTGCCGTGGCAGGGTCACCCAGTGACACAGGTGTGTTTGGAATGTCTCCAGACAGGTCGATTCCTCGCACTCCCTGGGCAGCCTGCTCCAGTGCTCTGTCACTCAACAAACACTTCTCTCCTGCAGCTTTCCCAAAATAAGGCACCACCGCCACTTTCCAGGCGCTTCATCCCCAAACGCGCCTCGCCGAGGGCTCTGCCACGGGCCAGGACAGCCCCCCTGAGCCTAGAGAGGACGCTCGGAGCTGCGCTGCCACCGATGTGACAGAGGCTGCCAGCACCCCAGGGGCTCCGGGCAGCGGCGGGGAGGTGACACCGCTGTCCCCAGCGCCTTCCCCCCGTGCCCCCTCACCTCATGT